AAACGTAATAATTATCTTTCCTTTAATATTGAAAACCAATTTTTTTTTATCAACTGAAAAATGAACGATGGAGATTAAATCTCTAAACCCGATTAACATATCCGTTTAGTTAGTTAGATCCGCGTGTTAACCCAGTTAGAAATGATAATTATTTCATTTTGAAACTATAGTGTAAATTCATTATGTACTTCAGCTTTAATAGTATAGATATGATGGAGAAGAACAGAACACCACCATCTACCACTTTCCATGTCTAGCGTTTACTACAATCTTAAGCACATCCATTTATTACAGAAACAAGCAAGAAATATTCATCACAGAAAGAGTAGGATACAGTGATTCACCATCTTGTGCCTTAAGCACAAAGCATAAAGCATGTGGATGCATATATATATATATATATATATATATATATATATCAGGCAAATTGTAGACACACAGCAGGAAGCTGCTGATGACTCTCAACAGAAACAATGACAAAAGAGCAACTTTCCAACTTCCAAAATTAGAAATCTCAACTTGAGATGAGATATTAAAACTTGCCTTTGATCCACCCTTCCACTGTAAAACCAATTAACATGTATGCTATCTGACAACTGAGACATTTTTGCTTCCTTCTAACAAAATGCTGAGTAGATAACGTATTCACCCCTCTTCCAACATTTCTATTCTGTATCCTATTTGCCTCATAATTTCTAATGTAGATTCTTATCGGTTCACTATGGTCCATCAGTATACTGGCCCAGCTGAGCTATACAAGGTATGTGAAGTCAACAATGAGGTTCGATGTATCGTTCGTGATGAAGGGATACATAGGGCTTCAGGTAGCCCTCACGTCACAAAAGGTCGTGGGAAGTCATGTCCATGCTTTAGCACCATTCCTGCGACTTGATTGACCTTATGTTCCTGTCCATGCATTGCGTATACTCTATGCAGAATGCAAAGAGTCTTTTTGGATCGGCTTATGTTAAAACTTTCCATTTCAGAGAGGACATTTTCCATCTCTTTAAAACGCTTCTGAGATCCATACATGAGCATTAAGCCATGGAACATAGACCTGCTCATCTTCCATCCAGCAGAGTGAGCACGCTGCACAAATTTAGCAAGCTTATCTACCGCATTGCACCTAAAGTAATTAGCCACAATTGATCTCATGATCCCATCTGTCTCTATCTGGATTCCTTTTGTAATAGCCTGGTCTATGAAATTCTCCATGGCATGTAGATTATCATCTTGTCCATATAGCTGTATCAAGAGCACATACAACCAAGGCTTGTAACGTTTCTTGGGAATAAGCTTGGTTAAAGTCTTGATTTTTCTGATCCTATCCTTGTGAGAACTCCTATAGTATGCGCATATCATGGACTCAATTAACTTAAACTCATTCCTGTCAACGTGATGTTTCACAGCTTGATACATCTCCTCCATCAGAACCAGATTACCCGAGTTTGCATACCCTCTGAGCATGAGCAAATAAGTGGCAAGGGTAGGCTTAACAAGGCCATTCTTCTTCATGATCTGGAAAGTAGCTTCCATCTTATCCCAACTCCAAGCATAGATATAGCCAGCGATCAAGTTGTTGTAGGTGCTGGAATTGGGAAGGATTTTGAGTTGTATAAGTTGAAGGAATACAGCTTCCATCCGATCGACCATAACCAAACGGCCATAAAGCGAAATGAGGATGTTGTAAGTTGAGACAGATGGGGTAGAGTCCTCTTGAGCACTGAAGTCAAGGAAGAGCTGCTTGCAATGATCTGCCAAACCATTCCACATGTAAGCACCCATCAAAGCGTTGTAGACGGAGGTCGTCTTTGCAGACTCGTTAAACAAGGAAAGTGCCATATCAACATTCTTCAATCTACCAGAGATAGTAATTCCCTTAGCGTATTCATCAGCAGTCATAGGAACCCCATCGCATAGTGCCTTGTTTCGTCGCCAGTCGAAGACCTGCACCACAGCAGAGCAGCAAACCTTTTAAAGAAGAAGAAACAAAAAACAAAAAACAAAAAAGAGAGCGCAAAAGCTTACCACTTGAGACAAAACGGGCCATGGACGTAACTGCCGGAGGAGCTCAACAAAAGCGGCTCCTTGGATTTGGTTTGCCTCCAAAACAGTGGCAACCTTATCGGAATGGCGCAGCAATTGGGTTTTCAAGCCGGGAACTTGGCTGAAGAGAGATTTACCGGAATGATGGAAGGGAGGGTGTATAGGGGACCTGAAGAGGGTAAAGGAGAAGGGGGTCAGAGTCTTCAAGGTTGAAGAAGAGCCACGAGAAAGGCAGAGCAGATCAGAGATTTGCGAAATCAGTGAGATTCTCCAGATGCGCTTCTTCATGGAGATAGAGATCTCTCAGCGGCGGCGACATGTCTTCCATCCACCGTCCCCGTTCACCGTTGATAAGATCCGAACCTGTCGACATGGCAGAGAAAGTTTAGTTTTCAAGGATTCGGCCCTATTTTTGTATTGGGCTTTAAAAGGCCCAAATGACGAAACATAGCCTACTACAGTATGTAAGTCGTATTTGATTAGTGTGATTAGTTCACGACGGTCAAATAATGTTGTAAAGCCGCCAAGAGTAGTAACTGTGTCTGTGAGCAGCTATGCAATTAGGGGGATTTGCAAAAAAAAAGACCTTTTTTCTTTATTGTATCAGGTTTTCAGGGTCAAATGAAGAATTTTAAATATTATCATATTATATCGCTCATCAGATTAGCTAGCGCACTCGTATCGACTAGGAATCATAATATGAAGAAAAATAAAATAAAGGAAAGTTCTCGTGCAACTTCATGGAGACGATGATTGACCCTAACAAAAAGATTATTATTATTAGAATAAGGGACCTCAATTAAATTAAATCAATATAGGCAATAATCGTTTTTTAGTCTAATAAAATAGGGGTTAGTAGCTAATTAAATCAACAGTACATAGAATAAATCTCTTAATAATAAGTCAAGTCAATAATAAAGGAGTTAAAATTATACAACTACACATAGTAAAGGGTAATCTTTCTTCTTTGATTGTCTGGTTTGTTTGTTTTCTGCTAAGACCAGATTCCTCTTTTTAATTGATAGATGTTGCTTCTCCGCCGTGGTGGGATCGCCGTCTTCCTGATTATCCTCTTGTCCTCTTTCGCCGCCGCTGAGGACAAGTCTTCGTGCCCTTTGGACTTCTCCATCCTCCGACCGTTCCGGCGTCCAAAACCGGACGGCCCAAACACGTGCCAGTACCTCCTCCAAGGGCTACGGCTCCTTTACTCTGACCATCTCCGTGAGAGTGGCTCCTTCCTCCCTCCCCCGCTGCTGCCGCCTCTTGCTGGGCCGCCCTGCAGTCTAACATCGCCGGTTTTCTGCCTGGGTTCGATGTCCGGTCCACCTGCGGTTTCGAGACGGCCTGGATTTCGGAGGGATGCATGAACATATCGAGCAGGTCTCAGTTCGAATCCATCATCCCTAATTCCTCCCGTTCCACCTCCTCCATCCGCTGTAACACCTCTCTTGAGAGCAACACCCCTTGCGCCTCCTGCACTCAGAGCCTCTCCGCCTTCCAGGCCTTTCTCACCGGACCTTCCCTCGGTAATGTCTCCGACTGTGCTGCCTTCCCCTCCATCTACGCCGCTGCTTTCGCCAATCCCTACGGCCCCACCGACAGAGGCACCGCCAAATGCTTGTTTCAGCTCGATTACGCTTCCTCCTCCTCCTCCTCCTCCTCCCCCTCCGGTCGCCGCAACCAGATTGCAATCTCCTTGTCTGTCTTGCTCCTCGCCTCTGCTTTGCTCACCACCGCCTGCTTCTGGTACTGCCGCCGGCGAAGGAAGAAGCCGCGGGATTCTAGTTTAGATGCCGGCGCTCAGTCTAGACTAGATTCCATGAGCGAGAGCACCACTCTTGTCAAATTCAGCTTCGACGAGATCAAGAAAGCCACCAACAACTTCTCACGCCACAACATCATTGGCAGGGGAGGTTACGGGAACGTCTTCAAGGGCGTCTTGCCCGACGCCACCCAGGTTGCATTTAAGAGGTTCAAGAACTGTTCCGCCTCGGGTGACGACAACTTCGCTCATGAGGTCGAGGTCATCGCCAGCATACGCCACGTCAACCTCCTTGCCCTCAGAGGCTACTGTACAGCTACCACCCCCTATGAAGGCCACCAGAGGATCATTGTGTGTGACCTTGTGAGCAACGGTAGTCTTCACGACCACCTCTTTGGCGACTTGGAGGACGCTCAGCTTGCCTGGCCCTTGAGGCAGAGGATCGCGCTTGGCACGGCCAGAGGGCTCGCTTATCTTCACTACGGCGCCCAACCCTCCATTATCCACAGGGACATCAAGGCCAGCAACATTCTCTTGGACCAGAGATTCGAAGCCAAGGTTGCCGATTTCGGGCTGGCCAAGTTCAACCCTGAAGGAATGACGCATATGAGCACGCGGGTCGCAGGCACTATGGGATATGTGGCCCCAGAGTACGCACTGTACGGGCAACTGACAGAGAAAAGCGATGTCTACAGCTTCGGGGTGGTTCTTCTAGAGCTTCTGAGCAGGAGAAAAGCCCTTGTGACAGACGAGGAGGGTCAGCCTGTGTCGGTGGCAGACTGGGCGTGGTCGCTGGTGAGACAAGGCCGGGCATTGGACGTGGTGGAAGATGGGATGCCAGAGAAGGGACCTCCAGAGGTTCTGGAGAAGTATGTGCTGATTGCAGTGCTGTGCTCACACCCTCAGCTCCACGCAAGACCCACAATGGATCAAGTGGTGAAAATGCTGGAGAGTAATGAGTTCACTGTAATCTCTATACCCCAACGCCCAATCCCTCTGGTGGCTTGCAGGGATGAGATTGACCGCTCTGTTAGTAGCAGCAGCGGCTCCGGGAAGCTCACTAGCCCCACTGGATATCAGGCCTTCTCCTACGGAGGTGATGGACCCTCGGGGAACACAAATACCTCTAGCTGAGATATAGATTGTACATTATCTGTTGTTGATATGTTTTATTCATTTTATTCTTTGATGCAACTGTCTAGTATTTGCTCTTGTTCCAATAAACTCATCCGCTGTAACATTTTTGAACCATTTTTATCGGATGCTGCTATAGAGGTTGTATAAGGCGGAGAAATATATACATGTGTCAGGCGAAAAAAGCTCTTGATAGAAAAGAGTAAGATACGGAGGACCGTGATGATGAGATAGATGTACACAGCATTTTCATTGATTCTTTCCGGTGAAATCCTCCACTAGCGTTCATAATCAACGTTGCAATCGAGTTTTGGTGGTACGTTATCTTTAATTCTTCTTCTATTTTATATTTTTTCCTGCAAAATTATAAAGAAAAATCTTTCTGAAAGAACGATCGAGTTACATAAGCAAGTAGGATCGCTGTATTAACAGTCACGTCTTCTAATGTTAACAAGAAAGAATAAAGACAGATCTGGTTCAGATCCTGGGTCTGCCTGAATTTTCTGTTATATTTTGGATCAATTCATATGAGAAAAACTAAGGTCAAGTTTTTGACAAGGCCAAAGAGATCACGTGTCTGTCTCTGTCCAATCCACGCCAGCCACTAGTGGCATGAGTTTAAATACATTTGCGTATTCGGTTTTACTTGTACTAACATCTTTTTTTTTGTCTTTTTAATGTGAATCATCTGCTCTGTTCGTTAATATACATGCACACACAGAGTATTCGTTTAGTTTATAAACACAAATTTTGTTTTAACCCTCCAAGTGGCTCAACATCGTCATTAGCAGCTATATTATAATCTAATGGTTATCTGAGAGACCCAATTTTTATGGATTATATTCCCGTTCTGCTCTTAAAATCAGAAGAAGACATAAAACAGCTTTCATCTCTTTCTTGGTAACAAACCCCACAAAGCTTTCTTGCCTAAAGGGTCACTATTACCTATAAAAAATAAAAAAGGATTTATCTTTAATTCTCATCCTCCCCTTTTCCAGTTTGCTCTTCTTCTTCTTCTTCTTCTTCTTTTGTATGTTTCTGTCTCCTTACTCAACTTTTGCTTCAGGATTCGTCTCTTTTGCAGTTTTGAGTGCTACAAGGGAGATACATAATACATGAAGATGTCAAAGGCAAGTGATGGCGTTAGAGAACCATTGGTGCTCAAGGATATGGCTGCTGGATCAAAACCGGGGGAGCCGTGGATGGTTTATCTCAGCACATTTGTTGCGGTCTGTGGTTCTTTTGCGTTTGGCTCTTGTGTAAGTGAAACTAGAGATCCATGGAAAATCACCAACTGCTCTCTCTCTCTCTCTCTCTCAAAAGGCCTCTCTGATGAACGTTATACTCAAAAAAATTGGTGGTTTTGATATATGCAGGCGGGTTACTCTTCACCTACTCAGGCAGCAATTAGGAATGACATTTCACTGACAATAGCTGAGGTACGTAATCCTTCAAGGAAAGACTGTAACATCAATTGATAACTGAAAGTTTCTTGCTTACCTTTGGATTCCGCAGTTTTCGCTCTTTGGCTCTTTACTAACTTTTGGCGCAATGATTGGCGCTATAACAAGCGGGCCCATAGCTGATTTAGTAGGGAGAAAGGGGGTAAGGACAAGTTTTATCATATAGCTGCCTTTAATAATTGTCTTCTTCTTACTTGTGGTGGATTTTGTGTTCAGGCCATGAGAGTTTCGTCTGCCTTTTGTGTAGTCGGGTGGCTAGCAATCTTCTTTGCCAAGGTCTTACCCAGGATCCCTACACAGTACCTACGCGGCCTTTTTTTTTTTTTTTTTTTGCCTCATGTATCTTTCTCTCTCTCTTTCTGTTAAATGGTCTCTCATCCAAAGGAAGTAGTGGCTCTGGACCTTGGAAGACTGGCCACGGGATATGGAATGGGAGCATTCTCCTATGTGGTGAGCCCTTCGAGTTAATTGTGTCATCTGTTCAACATATGTAGCTATCCATGCATGCTAATAATGAAAGTACCCACCGTAGGTACCAATATTTATTGCAGAAATCGCACCTAAAACCTTGCGAGGGGCCCTAACCACACTGAATCAGGTAATGAAAGAGCAACAAGATGATCTTTTGTCCCCCCTTGTGTTAGGGAATTATCTGAATCCAAGTTTGTGCCGCAGATTATGATCTGCACTGGAGTGTCGGTTTCCTTCATTATAGGCACACTAGTGACGTGGAGAGTCTTAGCATTAATAGGTACGGACTCTATGCGTAGAAAATCCATGGAACTTGGACGAGTCAGATTTCAGAATAATAATGTGTGTAATTGATGTGACTCCAGGAATCCTCCCATGCGCCGCCTCCTTTCTTGGCCTCTTTTTTATCCCTGAGTCTCCGAGATGGCTGGTAAGAGAGCATAGGAATTAATTAAGCACGCACATGCATCTTTTCTTTTCTTTTCTTTTCTTGTGAGTTTAATCGTACATGCATGTGTTTATAGGCAAAGATGGGGCGTGATACGGAGTTTGAGGCTGCGCTGAGGAAGCTCCGTGGGATGAAGGCTGATATTTCGGAGGAGGCAGCAGAGATTCAGGTTTTGAAATCTTGACAGCGTCATTATATATGATAGATTTTCTCTTCTTGTAACACTAGCCTTTCTCAGTATCTGAAAACATATCTCTGCCATAATTGACAGGATTATATCGAGACTCTGGAAAGGCTACCGAAAGCCAAGATGCTGGATTTGTTTCAGAGGAGATACATACGCTCTGTTCTTGTAAGATGCACGCCTTTCACCATTATATATCAATCTTGTTGCGGTCACGTCACAGTTGCAGATTTCAAACTTAAATCACCAATTGCATGCTTTGTTGGACCAGATAGCATTCGGGTTGATGGTATTTCAGCAGTTTGGAGGGATCAACGGAATATGTTTCTACACAAGCTCGATATTTGAGCAAGCAGGTAAATAATATTACATTGAGAATATTGAATTATACACCTTATTAACTTGTATCTCATATATATATTCAGCTAGTTATATTATTTTTTGTTTGTCTCAGGTTTCCCTACAAGACTTGGGATGATAATATATGCTGTTCTTCAGGTTCTTCCAGCTTATTAATCTACTAATCTATAGCAAGTCCAACCTCAAAGGATTCTTAGTCTCTTTTTTTTTTTTTGACTTCACGAACCTGCAGGTGGTAATCACTGCGCTTAATGCACCAATAGTTGACAGAGCCGGAAGGAAGCCGCTGCTACTGGTAAAGAAAATTAAACGAGCCTTGAAAAGATGTTGGCAGGGATCATAAGATGACTAACTCGTGTTGGAGTTGTGTGGCAGGTTTCTGCAACAGGTTTAGTGATAGGCTGTTTGATCGCAGCAGTCTCTTTCTATCTCAAGGTTCACAACATGGCACAGGAAGCAGTCCCAGTCCTGGCTGTTGTTGGCATAATGGTAAGTGAATTTTCTTTTGATTTGTTTTTTGTTAGCACCAAAACTAAGATGAAAGGGGGTGAGAACAGGTGTACATAGGATCTTTTTCAGCAGGAATGGGAGCAATGCCGTGGGTCGTCATGTCTGAGGTAAACTCCATCCCTGAGGTCCTCTTAATCCATATTATTATTACCTCTTCTTAGTTACTTGACAAATTAATAAAACCATTTATATTCGACTGTTGCAGATATTTCCCATAAACATAAAGGGAGTAGCAGGAGGCATGGCGACGCTGGTGAATTGGTTTGGAGCGTGGGCTGTTTCTTACACTTTCAACTTCCTCATGTCCTGGAGCTCTTACGGTAAGTACTCAAATCATATTTCACTTTAATTAGTCTCACATTTTCATGCCTGTCCTAACAAATGGAAACGATATTGCTGCAGGAACTTTCATCATTTATGCTGCCATCAACGCACTGGCCATCGTCTTTGTCATTGCCATCGTGCCTGAAACGAAAGGGAAGACACTGGAGCAGATCCAAGCTGTGGTCAATCCATAGTTCAGCGGATGTTATTTTCTTAGGGCTATATAAACCAATTGGGACATACAGTAGCAATCTTGAACCTATTTGCTTTTAAGATTATTTACTGAACTATTATCAATCTCTCTATTTTTTAAAGTCTCCTTCTGGAGTTCAATAAGCGGATCCTTAAATTTTTGTGTCTCTATTTTGCACCTACAAGTACGTACATCGTTCGAGATTATTAGTTTTTTGGTAGTTTTTAACACAAAAGAAATGGTTTTATCTATTTTGCCTCTAGAAATACGGTGATCTATCTATACAATCATGTTACTAATTGTATAGCTTGGGAATGAAGTTATCTTAGCTCGAGGCCGTATAGAAACCCGAGTCACAGTTATGGCTAAGGAAGGACTTAGCTTCAAAGTCAGAGCTTATCCAACTTGGACTATTTCTTCTTCCTATTCCGTATATTTTAAAGAAATTAATCTTCATTTTTGAGAAAGTTAAACCAGAAGAAAGAAAGAAAGAAAAATAAAATTAAGAAGAGTGTTATTCACTCATGAATAGTATACGTTTCGGTTAAACAAGCCACGATGTCTTATCATTAAAAGCAGACCAAAAGAATGTAAAAATATGGGGAAATCTAGGCGAGAGTAGATCAGACTTGGTGGTTCAGCACAGAGACATCCACAGTTATTATAAACGGATCTCAAACTGTGTTAATAACTATAAGCAGTCCACAAAAACGTCTAACGTTTAAATTTGTAGTATAGAGATTGCTCACGCTTTATAGTAATGCGTCCTCCATGAGGCCTTTGTGAGAGCCGAGTTATTATACGTTGAAACTCTCTGCTGTTTGTGTCTTATCGGTCGTTGCTCGTCCACGTTGATCGATCTAGCTTTTACAACATCGACCTTCACTATGTGATGGTCCGAGGTTCCTTTGGAAGACAACACCGAATACGACCCTGGCACGAACCGGTACGGTGAGTCCGAGGAAGCAAGTATGTAGTCCACGCGTGTCCCGTACTTGCATGTCCCCTGTACACCTGTCATATTCAGTACAAGGACGACGTTTCATCGGTAAAAATATGTTAACTAAGATTCTAATTTTAACTAACAAAAGGAGATTTAAGTTTGACGGTGCTCACTTTGGCCTTTGGCGACCACAACCACAGATTCGCACTCTCCAGCAAAGTCCTTCGCGTCAGTGTATTGTTTGGTCTTTAAGAATCTCATCACTTGTGCTTTTGGTATCGGCTTACCCATCTCTTCGTAATACTATATGTATTTAAAAAAAAAAAAAAAAGAAGGTCACGCGCGAGAGATTGATTAAATGAATTATACAGCTTAATTAATGAGATAATAAAACATATATTTGGCTACCTTGACGATGTCGGTCCATCTCTCAGGGGAATAGTCGGATTCGTCGAGAGAATTGAGAGCACCAGCGAGTATGTGAGGCACGTTGGTAGATTGGATAATGGCATCGACTTGCTTCATTCTCCACTCCTCGTCCAAGTGATCAAGATGAGTACAGTGAAATTCCACTTCCCCGCTCCCCGGAACATCTATGCTCGCCTTCAACACGTTCCTACATATCAATGTTAAAGCCTGGTTGATTCAATATTACTTACTTGAGTTTATCGTGATCAGAAATATCATCAGAGGGAACAAAATCGAACACGCACTAGCTTCTTTTATTTTGCTTCCAAGAAATACAAAACACGCAATGATATATACCTTTTTCTATGTCTGCCACCAATATTCTGATTAAAAATAATTAGTAGTATTATTTATTGTGAATTTGGTAGAAAAAAAAGATTTGCCAGAAAAATATATACTATTATGTTTCACAAGAGCTAGCCCCATGATATATATCTTTATACAAATAATAATTCAGACAAAAGTATATAGTAGAGATTGACGTACGAAGCTGTCCCTAAGAAAGAAAGAAAGAAAGAATATACAGCTGTTATTGTTGTTATGAGAGTCCAATTCACAGAAAAACTGAGTGTGCATTGTATATACGTGTTTGTGCATATGTGTTTGTACTGTATACATATATATTTGATACTCTCACGAGACGACCATGACTTGGTTCTTAGACCATCCTCATTGGGGGTATCTTAGGAGGGTAAGATACCCCACTTTTTCAAAGAAAGTATGTTATATAAGGATTTTTTTTTGGAAAAGTGGGGGTATTTTAGCCTCCTAAGATACCCCCAATGAGGATGTCCTTATAGGTAACAAAGTCGCCGCACATGCCCCAGTGTTTACTATTCAAAGTTTGATTAAAACTGAACACAAAGATGGATTGAACCACAATTTTTATATCTTTTAATCTAAGCTAGCTTTTAGTACTAGTCACAAGTTAATTAAGAAAAACAGAGGAGCTAGGTTTTTTTTTTTTGGTAAAGAACAGAGGAGCTAGTTAAAGAAAAAAAAAAGAGAACCTGAAATCAGTGTCGTCGAAGATTCTGAGAACATTGGAGTGTGTGATGGGCCACTTAGAGAGAATGGCGTTCCCGTACTCCGGCGCCCAGCTTTCGGCGAAGACGTAGTTCATCCCCAGCGCGGCGGCGAGATCCGAGAGTGGTCGCATTTGGTCAGCTTCGTCTGCCTTGACGTCTTGGAGAGCGAGGACGTCAGCGTCTAGCTCCCTCAGTACTTCAAGAGCCGTTCTGGTGGTGCGGGGACCGATCTCCCCGGAGAAAGAGAGAGTAGCCCTGAGCGGAGAGCGGTGTGGATCCTCCCGGAAGCTGAGCTGGCGGCTGATCTCGTTGTCGGGGAGATTGATGGAGACCCTCCTCAGCCTGGACTTGGCAAACCTAAGTTGTTGTTGTCTTCTGGAGTCATGAGAACTAGGAGAGGTGGGCTTGAGTATGCTCTTGGGGCGGTCGACGGATGACTTGGAGCGGAGAGGCATACGCGTGTCGTTGGGAACGGCGGGAGCCATGGAGAACATAGCAGCGTTGAAGGTGGCCACAGTGATGGCTTTCTCCGGGTTTGGGTGGATCGCGGCTGCCGATGAAAACACATGATGATGATGATGACTGTGGCTCTCAGTTGCTTCAGGGGAACCAACTGTTACAGTGGACGGCGACACATCACGAGAGCGGTGGTGGTTGACGGAGATTCTGGCATTCTGGGGACGCCGGAGACGACGGCGGAGGAAAGTGATGAGGTTCAACATATCAGGTAGAAAGGGGCGATCGCATTTAAAGCTGATTTTGTCTAAAAATAGAGAGAAAGAGAGAGAGAGAGAACTCTTCTCTTTATTCGTTTGGGGTTCATATTTATATATTCAGAAATGAGAGAGAGAGAGAGAGAGATTTTGGAAACAAGTTTTTTTTGTTATATTATTGAAGCCAGCCCCTCTATGAACCACAAAGAAGAGGCAGTAGTTGCTTGCTTCTTTGGAAATTGGTCTTTGGCTTATTTACGTGGTTGAAATCTTCTCATCATCGTTTATTTTCAAGTGCAAAAATGTACCTTTCGGGCTACTCCTTCTATGGACAGTCACAGTTCCAGCTTCTAGCTCTTTGGTCTCTCTCTACAATTTATTATCATTTGGTTTCAGACTTCATTTTCTACGACCATTGGAATATATATGGATGGTGTGTGCATGCCTCGTAACTAAAAAGTATGTATACAATTATCCACGTTAAACCACTACTACGAAAAGGACGATATATCATATAAACATGGGATCATTTTTACAATTTTATAAACCAAAAAGGAAACTAACAACTCCCAATAGATCTTTCTTTTTATATAACTAAAGTATATACTCATTCATAATATAATTATTGTTATCGATTTCAAGCATATGTGGACCAACTGCTCTGTAATTTAAAATTAGTAATATAGATGCCTGCTGCTACCCACAAGATTCTATAGTATTTTTTCAATAGTGAATTGATATCATAATCATCAGTTTTAGCATTATGATGAGAAATATATATATATATAAAAAGGTCAAAAAGAAGAGAACAAGAGGATTTGGAATAGAGAGTGAGTTAGGTGAAGAAGTGTTTATAATTGTTTTTTTTTTTTTTTTTGGTTTTGTATACTGAAAAACCTCTAAATTAGGGGTTAGGTCTGAAAGTCCAATTAAAACCTCTCTTCTTAGCTGTGTGTGACCTGTGGGATATATCAATATGTAGGAGGAAGGACGTTCCCTTAACGCACAAGTTGCCAAACAAAACTGCTTGCTGTTTCCATACTACCAAAACGGCATTACATGAATACTTGCTCTTTCTCTTACTCTATCCATCCCATCCTTTTCCTACTCTCAAACTTCCTCCAAACGGAAGTTACATACATACTTGCAGCTTTCATCGATGCCAAAAGTGATGGAAGACACTGTACCTTGTGGTATATCTCAGAGGAGTCCCAACTCCCAAGCCATCCAAGGAATATGAGAGCTACCAAGCGTTTCTGAGTCTCCAAGCTTAATAAGAGCACCTCCAATGGAGATGCTTAATGTATCTTTAACACATTGCTTATCATTATATGTAATGATTATAATCCTAAAAAAAAGAAAATATTGTAAGCACCATAGCTTAAATTGTGATTATAAGCAACACATAAGCACTATTTTTGAAAATTTAATTTTAAAAAATTGATTAGCACCCTCCAATTACCATTGGAGGTGCTCTAAAGTCCTTATGCTCTACCTTGTTTTATCTTGTAGGGACTTAGACCAACATTATTGGCAGACTCTTATAATCAAAACAGAGTATCTTATACAAAACACTGTGCTAAGATACTCTGTTTTGATTATAAGAGCCTGCCAATAATGTTGCCCTTATGTTGGACTTCTAACTTTGGCATGCTTTTTGAACCTCTCTCTCTCTCTTTCTGACTGGATCTCTTTTTTTTTTTGGTTTCTGGTGAGAGATGACTTTTCTCCTCTTTTCATTATGTCATACCTATATATCGCTCTTATGATACAACAATCAACTAAAAAGATGATCAAAAGAAAATTTCTCTCCGAATTTTCGCTCAATATGTACAAATATGACAGTGTGTTTTCAATAGCGTTAGAGACTGGTTGGACCTAAGCATCATAGTCCAGCTTTGTATACTCAAGCAACATGTGCGGGGATCTATAGATCTTCACCACCGTCCAGTATAGAACTTCTTCTACTCCAAGTTCACCTTCTGCTCTCGCCGCATATAAATCCTCACATATGGCTATTAATCTACAATCAACAGTAAGTGGTCTTAGTCTCTTGGAGGTTGAGAGTATATGTAAAAGCAAAATTCTTGAACAATATTTACGGATGTTACCTGTCACACGAAGGTAGGTTTTCGTAAGGTATTCTCATACGCAGGTCAGAGCATTGAAGCCTGATGAAACGCCCAACTGCTAGTACAAATGTTATATACAGTCCCCATATACTGAATTTGCTGAGGGTGTCACCCAGAAATCCCTCTGCAATTATTTCCGCCTTTCCGGCATTGTTAATAGAACATGACTCTCGAACAATCAATTGAATTAGAAGAGCTAACTTACGTGGGGGTGTTTCCTCAGACATTATGATCGCAACTGGTCCATCCATACCCTCGCACGCGCTGATATTTTCAGAAGCTTTAAGATTATGGAATGACCACCACCATTTGAAATCTGCACGGTTAATCAGTATGTCTGCACTCACTTCATCCTTCTGTAGCAACAACAAACATTACAATATTGGAAGTATAAGCTAAAACGGGAAACACTATCTGGAATATAACTCTCAGCTTGTGCATTCAAGATTTACCTGATCCTCGAAAGACCTGACATCACCAGAACCGGTAACACGGAAAAACTTTGGGTACAAATTATGCACTCTAAATCCATCCATTGATCCGTTGAGAACCATTTGCACATCAGAGCGTTTTGGAAGGTCCAGAGGGTCGACACTTCTTTCATATTTCACAGTCTCCTTGCCTTTGGGTCGGTCTCTGTTAAGAACCCAAGAAAAAGTGATGTCCATATCTGTGTCCCAGTCAAGGGATTGAATAAATCTGGTCACAACTGTGTCAGGGACAAGCCATAAAACACTTGCATCAGCTTGACAGCATATCAGCTGGATGTCATTTTTGTTGTATGTTGGCAAGAAGCTTTGAGATCCGAGATCTAGCCCTAGATCAATGTTATCCCCTGAGATTCTCTCGCATAGGGTTGTCTGGTACAAAGTAAGTTTTCCACCAACTGTTTTTAAATCAATCTGAACGCTCGCATCTTTTATCGGATTGGCAATGTTTGTTGGGTTACCACTGCTATACATCTGCAAGGAGAAAGCCGTTACCCACAAACGAATGACTCACCAAATACTCAAATTGTAAGATATCACTGAGAATTGTTGGTTTAAGCAAGCACATAATTTTTCTTTTCTGATACTTATTAGCATCTATGCATCATGAGTATTATCCATCCCAAGAACGTATCGATAATTCAGAATCCAAATGAAAATACTTTACAAAAGCATTGTATAAGTTGTGTTGTAAGAACATGTTTACCAGCATAGGAGCCCAGATAACGCATAATAAGATGAAGAATAGACATATCCCGTTGCAGCATTTAGTCATTTTTGTTTGTTTCTCCCCATGTTTATGTGTTGCTCGATTTAAAACTGTATCGCATTTGACAAGATACAAACTCGCATTTACATCTTCCAACTGCAAAGTAACAGAACTTAATCCCTTGGCAGTAAGTTCAAACTAAATATGAATGATCCATAATCATAGCGAGGGTTCCAGATAACAAATGGATTGGATCAAACGACTAACCTTGAGCCAGTCATACATTGTCAGTGATGTAGCTGTGCAAGACCAGTCAAGTACACATCTCAATTCATACAGGAAGGGAAGAGCACGGTAAAGTCTGTAACCATAGTAATTGATCCGTGAAACTTCACTTGTCAAGAACTGCCGATACAAGGTGCTTTTATGAGGAAGTCCATAGCGTATTTGTATGGCCTGGAGAGCTAATGACATTGCTTTGGCAAGAAATATCAATCTGAGGGCCAAGCCAGCAGCGTGTTGCTGGGTAGGATATATGCTCCAAGCATACTCTGTAACTGCATATGTGAAGAGAATAAGACTGAAGAGATAGTATACCACTTTTCCAGTCGCAAATGAGCAAAGATAGATGACCCGATCAACAACAATTAGGAAGAAGATAACCTGCCATAAAAGCGTTTCATCAGGTTAAGGCACTGATATAAGACGGGTGTGAACAGATAAACAAGACTTGTAGAAATGATTACCATTAATATAATGACAAAGTCAAATGGGAACTGGTCTACTAGCTGATATACATCAATAAACTCGCTTTTATTTTTTATGACTGATTGGTAGAAAATGGCAACCAGAAAGAACACCATCAAATCAGCACCAAATATGTAGGCATAGAGGTCAGTTTCTCTCTTTCCTCCGCCAATCACAGATAGAATGGGGTAAGGAAATCCAGTTCCTTCAACAAGTCCACTATGTTGAGCTTTACGAATTTCTTTCGCCACATCCGAGGCTGGGGTAAGTGATTTGTACCATTCTGCAGACGAACACCCATTCGTGGGAGAAGCATACTCAACCTCTAGAACAACTAAGGCCTCATTTGGGGTCTCTGTACTTCTCTCTATACTTTGTACGTGAACCCTGCTAGAGTAAGGGCAGAGATCAGGGTTTCCCTTCTCGCATCTCTCATTATGAACAAGTCTAAGCAACTGATTCATTCTACACTCAACTCTTTCAGGCTGAATTCCATCTTCAGGCCACATGTGAACATCCATTGTCACTTGGACAAAGTAAGGAGGGGATTCTGCTCCACGTGTCAGAGATATCCAGTATCGGCAGATGCTTCTGATCACCAATTTCCCACTATCTCTTAGCTTCTTGAACATATCGTAGAATCTGTCGCTCCAGCTAATTCTTGTAAGATCCTTCTGGCTACCACGGACATTCCGGCGTGAAGTAAAATCAGCAGAAGGAACCCAATCACCATCCTTTACTGTTATAGCACTCTGTATGAGAGTAAATATGTAAATGAGGAACAGAGGCAACGAGCTGACAACAAATGATGATTTGATTCTTTGCGTTGGAAATCCCAATTCATGAAGAAGAGGTGCATCAATGCTTAACCCACAGTGCTGGATGATAATCTGGTATAAATACTGGAGCAGGATATAAATTTCAGTGTACATTAGCATGATAACCCAGAAGATGTGAGTGGGACCAGTGTGAACGCAGAGGGCATATAGGAATAGTGCTGCTAGATAGACCATGGAAAGCAGACTGAAGTTCCACAGAAACGCAATTATGAAGCAGCAGTAGCAAACAATATCGTTATTCGACTGCATCCTAGACCAAATATGACGAAGGATCCTTCCTATCTGAAAGCTAGTGCCATCACTACTCCTGTCAGATTGTAGAGATGTTGACCGTTCAAAAGGTGTGTGTTTTCTTTTCTG